GTGATTTGGCGACGAGGGAATACTCTAAACAAGCTGTTCTTACTTGCAATAATTCGAAAGGAACTAGAGAGGATATCTCTGCAATAAAATATTCCCAATGCGAATTTAGTATACAAATTTAGTATACAAACGAAACGCAGTCTTAGCTGACAGACGTCAAAACAACAACTTTACATGATGAATTGCACAAATTTGTGCTATACCAATTTACAGGGTATGAGAAAGAGAAAATCGCAATGTATCAGTTGCCCCACACAGGCATCGCATTTCAGCTGCGCGTTTCGTTTCCCACAGGCAACACACACAGAAGACGAGGATCGTAACTTCAATTTATGGCCACACACAACTGTTTAGTTGCCCGGTCAAGTTTTTGGGCGAGACTTTTTAATTTTTGCTTTACTCCAAATTATGTGCAGTAAAAAATGTTTATGACGCGTAGAATATATGTTTGCTCCAAGGGTTCTGCCTGAGCTGGTGCGCATAAAAAACATCTGTGGCAGGCCACAAGAAAACCACACAAAACAAGATGAAACAAAAAAGGAAATAAAAGCAATAAAACCTGTTGCGTGGGATATTTTGTAAAGATATTCGAGATATTGGAGTGTCCACAGACTCCGTTTTGTAACGTGCAACAAATTTGCATGCACCATTTGTTGGCTGTCAAGTCGCCTGTATGCCGCATGCCTGGCCTAGACAATACGGTTGCAATTGGGGTTGCAATCATGACTCATGACCAGTCTGGAGCAGAGTCGTTCTGCGGTTTGTCCAGCAACTGGCAACACATTTGTGTCAGCTGCAAAGAGCCTGGTCCGAATTGTGGTTTTGTTTAGACTGCAAGCTAGAAGCTCTGGGGCGCCTGCCGCTGGCATTAAGTCATTGTGCATAGTTCACAGTGTCAGAAATTGTTTGCTTTGTGCTCAGCTGGAAACTATTTTAAAGCCTTGCAACCGGTTCACATTCAAATCTTGACTATATAGAACCCATAAATAACGAACACCCAACGCTTAGCACTGAATAAAAGACAAACACAAAAAGCTCTGCAACAATGGCAGCCTAGCAACGACTAAGTGTGACTCTGCGCATACTTAGCACTCGTTGCTTTTAAAGATTTATGAAGCTTCTCTGCGGCCTTAAATTCTGGTATACACTAAATTTTAAGACGAGCCGACAATCGAAAGAGCTAAGCTTTTGTTAACTGTCAGCGCTCTGTGTGCAGCGTAAATAAAGCTAAGAAAAAGTTTGTCTAATGTATAATAAAAATGATAAAAAAATTCATTAAAAATGTGCCTCAACTTTTAAGTTAAATGTACCAGAATTTAGAGGCAGCTCGAGAGTATATCAGCGCCTTTGCCAAGTCCCATATATTGGACTTACGCCCAACGCTGCATCGATACCGATTTCAACTTTTATTTCACAGCTAAGGAATGTAATTTTGTTGCAAGCTAAGGCTTCAAGCTGCCAGTTGGGCATATGACTAGGTCACAAAATGCCACAAAAGAACAATTTGCCAATTATGGCCAAATAACAGCAAAGTATTGCCAATTTGGACATGAAGTAGCAGCCGAAGAGACGTTTGTACTATGTTTGTACTATAAGCTTGTAGATATTTCATGTTTATATGGAAGTGGTGTAGCATAAGATGTGCAATGTAATTGTATGTCAGAGTTGAACAATTATTTGCATTGCATTTGCAGTTTGGCAGCCCAAAAAGCAAAGCAATTTGCAGATCGTTTGCCATAGACAACAGACGAATTATAATTTAAGGTTGCAATTGACATTTGGGCAGAACAAATATAAATGTTGGACTAAGCTCTAACATGTTTGTATTTTCAATTATATTTACTGGCAGCAAATCCAAACGGATCTCATTTCAGCAGCTGCATTGTGCCAAAGCGCAATTTAATAATAATTAATTATAACTTTGTTGGCCAAATGCAATTATTGGCTTACAACATGCGCGCCGAAACACAGCTGTAGCAACAGTTTTGTATTTAACACAGGTTTTGCAAAAACAAAGCCCATTAAATATTACGTATACGCAGCGTGCACAAGGACAAGCGCTCAAGAGCACAATGCATATGCAGTTGGTCCACCATTGTTGCTTCTGCAAACAATGAAAGAAAGCCAACAAGCCGCTGCGAGGCAGGCCAAGTTCAAAGTTCAATGAAAGACGAGATAACAAACAAAAGCAGCCATTATGGTCTATGGACTGTGGAAGAAGCGCGCTGACAGCCAGCGGGGTTGGCCGGGAACTATTTGAATGCCGTCAGCAATTGCAGGGAAAATAAGAAAAAATGCAACTTTTGGGCAATGAACCTGCAGGCAGCAGCAGCAAGCTTTTGCATTAAATAATGATAAATAACTTTGTTGTGCGGTAATCGCACAGTTGCAAGTGGCTGCTGATGTTGCTGTTGCTGTTGCCCATCGACCCGCCGGCAACTTGCACTTTACTTTTGTTTTTTCTTTTGTTTTTTATTTTTATTTTTTTTTTTTTTGTAGCTTCGTAGAAAGTGCATAACGCATTAGCTGCATATGTGTGGGTGAGTGGAATCGCTGCCAGCTGCTTGGGTGCGCTTAATTGAAGTAACTCGCAACTGGCAAAAAGTCTGGCAAGCCAGTCAAGTAGAAACTCACGAGCCTGACAACTGACGTCGCGACGTTGGTCGTGAGAAATGAAATCAATTGAGCTGCCAGCGTCTGGCAAACTCGAAGTGCAGCCCGGTGTGGCATAATTAATCAGTGCAACATTTGAAAGTCAAAGTTGGCGCGGTCAACGATTGAGTTGCTGTTTGTTAAATACAAAAAGAAACACCAAACACACACGCCCAGGACAGCGGCTGGGCTGCGACTTGACATTTAATTGGCATTAATTACCTGTATTTGTACTTTGCGACCAACTGGCGAATGGCCGACTGCAACTTTCACTATCGCCTACGCCGCAAATGGCGAGCGCAGAGAAGGAGAGCTAGAGAGAGAGAGAGAGAGAGTGAGCTAGAGAAACCTCAATTGACAGTTTCAATTAAAGCAGCAGCAGCGATATTGCTGCTGCTGCTGCTGCTGCTGCTACTGCTTATCGCTCGTTTATCTATCTAACGGCCACTGGAAACACCCGCCAGCAGCAGTTGCATCTTGACAGTTCGCTGTCGCAACTGTTGCACTAGGCGAGCGCGCGCGCGCGTTTTTGTTGCGTTTTTTATCGCGTCGCTTTTCACACGCACTGCAAAATGCTTTATTGCTGCTTCGTTTGTTGTTTTTTCGTAATACATTTTGAGCAATTTGCCTTAATGCACATTTAATGCAGACAACAAACACAGCAACAACAATGGATGGGCCTCTGCTGTCAGTTTATGGCATAAAACGTGAGTGACATTTTTCTTCATTAAATTTAACACATTGTCAACAGCTCTCGTTTGGCAGATGCTGCTGCTGCGGCTGCTGCTGCAGTTGAGTATTTACCCCTACGGCAGCGAATGCAATTTTCCAGCTTGTCAATCAACTGAATGCGCTGCCCAGTGCTGGAGATAGTTGGAATTATGGAGGAGGCGAAACGAATTGCATGTCTGACTGGCATCAAGTCATTTGCATGGGCACCACTTTGGCCATTTAGCACTCAATAATTTGCTGCTCACCGAAAACCAAACAGCAGCATTAATTAATAGCCAGTTCCGCCGACACATGAATGGCGGCACAAATTGGTTCTAGCCGCTGCAGTGGCTGCACGTGTGTTGCAAGTGGAATGAGGTGCCACACAGCATCAAGGGGACTCTTCAAAATTAGACAAAGTATATTTTTACCACAAGCAACAAAAACTCATGTTTCGTGGGGCTCAGCAGCAGCAGAAGAAAAAAATCGGATAACGAGATAAATTTGTCTTCCTTTGTTTGACTTGGAGTGTAATTTTGTTAGAAATGGAAAGTTTTATTGTTGTTGTCATTTACTTCAAAGCGAATCTCCCAAACTAAACGTTTCGATGCAGCTGCCTCTGGCTTTGGCTTTTGCTTTTGCTTTTGCTTTTGTTGCTCGCTCTTCGTTTTTTGTTTCTACTTTTTTCTAACTGAATCTCCATTCAATTGTCTCCCGAGCTAAGTGTTTATTTGTGTTTACATTTGTAATGTGAGTGGGAGAAAGAAATACCAAAATATTAAAACAATTATAAAGTGGTAGGCGTGAATTTCTTTCAAATATTTTCTACATAAAAGCGAGGAGGAGATACACTTTGTGTAATGCAACATGACGAGGCTGATTCTGAGTTGTAAGTAATAGAAATAGTGCGTATTCTTGTTATTTAAAAATAAATATTAAGAGGCCTCATTAAAAAGAATTGTACAAATCTTAATTTGTTTTCAATGTGAAAGTATTTTTTAACTGCCAAGGGGAAATCTTAAAAATCGTTGTCTATATAAGAAAACCTTTAAAATCTGATAAAAATAATTCAGTCCTACAATTTCTCGGCACATAAATTGAAACCAGAACGAAAGCTTAAGGCTGGTCTGTAGTTCAGGGGCTAATGTGCTGCGCACATTGTTTAATGTGGGGCCAATTATGGTGGTGTTTAATTAAATATGCTGCTAACGATGTTGCAGCTGCTGAAAGACGTAGGCAATTGGCAAGTTGTGGAGTTCGCATGCCATTTGCAGTCGATGGCAATTGTAATTGTGGTTGGCACTGCTTCCCGGTCTTGCGACATGCTGCCTGGGAGCCGCTGCCACAACGCCCCCTTTCACTTCTTACCTGGCAGCGACAACACATTGTTTGTGGCAGTCGCCTCGAATTACAAGTGTTTTACATGAAGGCGGCTGTCAGGTCTTCAATTGGATTTGCAATTGCAGTTTGCCTTCAATTATACACATATACATGTGTATATGTATGAAGAACCATGGGTGTTGGAGGCGTGGCAGGCAAGCAAGTTGCATGCCAAGATTCATTTCTTGTTTACGCATTTCTGCATTCCATGGGAATATTGTGAACTAAGCAGCGTAGTGTAAAAGTGTTTTTCTTACCTGCTTGGATTGTGTTCCTGGCACGTTTGCTGTCCGTTTATGTTGATCGTTTAGTTTGCCTGCAAAGATGAAGCAATGCATAATAAACATTAATTTGATGATTGTCACAAGCAATTACAGCTACAACTACAACTGCATTCGGCACAGTTCAATACCCTTGGGGCGCATGCAATTTTTTATTTGGCCAGCTCACATTGCTTGAAATCGAATTACCAAATGTTAAAACCCTCCAACCGCCCGCAACTGAGCGGCGCCAAGGCTGGCCCATTGGCTGGCCTGGCCAGCTACAAGCAATGACCCGAATTCGATGCACGTTGCGCTCGTGTTTCGTGCCTCCCATTGGCAATACCCGTCCTGGCCTGCAAGCAGCTGCTGCTTTTGGCTTGAGTCTGCCTTTGAGCCAAGTCAACTCAAGTCATGCCCAACCCAGTCACTTATATATATATATATATATATGTATGTATATATATATATATATATATATATTTTGGCACGCAAGTGTTGGCATTTGGGCGCATTTAATCGACACCAGAGTATCAGTGTCGTCGTCACAGCAGGTCGTAATCGAGCCGCCTGAGCTGAACATTTTTTATTGTCACTCTCTCGAGCTGTTGACCAAGTTGCAGCCAGTTTATGCACTTGAACACTTGGCTTTGTTCTGACAAAAAAAATATAGAAGCTTTTATCAAGGCTAACATGCCGAGCTACAAGTGCTTTTTGCTTTTACCACTTTTAATAGTTGGCCATGGCGCACACTCGTTCTAGTGACCCGTCGCACCAACTGTCCCGCTTTAAGTGATTTTTCTTATTGGTTTGCTAACCAGCAATTAATGGTCATAACCAGAATAAATCAAATATGCAATTCCACAAATTTGCATAACGTTCAAAAGAGCAAATTTAATTAATATGACTTATTTCTTATGCAGCCCAAGGGGCGCACAAAGTTTGCATAAAAGTGTAAGAGAATAAATTGAAATCAATTAATTTGCTTTGAACCTGAAAGTTCTTATAACAAATTAAGCCTTTACATTTATTAACTCAATAATTCTTTGACATAAGTCTAAACAAAACTTGCTCAGACTTCCTTGTTCATGTAATTAAAATCAGTAATCTGTGGGGCTGACGTTCAGGTGACTAATTAATGGCCAGCCTGACATAAATTCAACATAAATAAGCTGTAATATTAAAATTTAAGTTCGCAAATCATGTAAAATTTATTGAATACTAAAAAATTCTAATTATTTTCTCCAATTATTTCAGTTGCTGATCATCCAAATATTATTGCTTAAGAAATGAACGTAAAGTAAATCTCAAAAAATTATAGATAAACGAAATAAACTGGTGACATTTTGATAAATTTGCAAATTCAAGTAAAGATAATCCATTGGATTAACAAGAGTACAGACATTTCAGACTTGATCAGGATTAAGTTCAATGCAGTGGCTGGTAGCTGTTGGTATTGCTCAGCCACATCGCTTGGTGGTTGGTGGTGCTGCTAACGGCTGTTTAATGAACAGACATTCCATTTAGCACTTGATCCGTTGCTGGATCTGTTCATTAGCATGTGGACTGACAGCACGAGGAGTGGGCTGTTGCTTAAGCGTGCCGAGAGATACGGCAAGAACTGGATTTGGTTTCGGAATCGAAGTCAGTCATATATTTAATTAATTGTTTGGCATTCTCTATGGCACTCGTGTGCAGTGAATGGCCCTGGGCTTCATAATAGGTAATGCTACGGTGTCTATCAGCCGGGCAGCATACAAACATAGATATGATACCTAGAATTTGGCTCTGAACTGGCGCAGTTTTATGCTAGCTGTATGAGCCAAATGCTGATTTCTATCCACGGTAATAACAAGAGCTCCAAATTGTCTGCAGTCGCATGTTCAGGAAGTTACTTTGGCTACCTTTTGCGGATTCAACAGAATTTCAAGAGCTCCAAATGAAGTACGTGAACCAGCCCACAGCCGGTGTTGTGGGGGGGGGGGGGGCAGTTGGGGCATAAAAATAAAGCAAACACTGAAGGTCATTACCGGAAAAACGGGTTTCTCTTGTCTGCACCAGCGAAGTGAGTAAGCATTTAGCATTAAAATACCGTTGGGATTATGGCACTGAATATGCATGGGCGTTCGCCTTAATGGCCAACGCTTAACGCTGTCAGTTGCCAGTTGCCAGTTGCTAGTTGCCAGTTACTAGTTGCCCCTTGCTAGTTACCAGTTGCTGTTCCAGTTGCCCCATAAAAAAAGGCAGCAGCCACAGCCGCAGCAACAGCAACTGCATCTGCATAAATTATGCACTCAGAGACACTTGCAAATTGTCATTCGACAATGTATCCACGACGACGACGCAAATGATGATGATGACGATGATAATGATGATGATGGGGATGACATGGCAATTGAAGCCGTGTTTCAAGCCCACGCCAAGCCAACGCCTCATTGCTGCCAGCGGCTTGATACTGATTTTTGTTGTCGCTAAAGCTTAACTGTATTTTGTAAAAGGTTAACGCCGGCTACTTGCATAAAGTCGATGCAATATCATGACATTATGTGGCATCGCAATCGGATGAAGTGATCAGGTAACAGATTGTTGAGGAAAAGTTTTAAACGGGAATCATATAAACTTGATATTAGCTTGAATATAACAATTGATATTTTAGAATTGCAGCTATTCATGTTTCTTTATATTATTACAAAAAAGTTGAACCGGTTCGTAGCCGGAATTTTAATTAAGTTTCTGAAAACTCTTCAGATCTAAGATTATCCACATTACAAGCACCTAGCAGTTGTTAAAATTGTGCAACATTCAAGCAACTTCCAAAAAATCAATGAAATTAATTGAGCTGATGGTCGGTTGCCTATCAAGTGTGAATCGTAATTGAATTAAGTTGATTGATAGAATGTTTAATAATTTTTAATTTTAATTAAAATATATATCATGAGCATATTAACAAACCTCTTCATATAATATCTCTATATCATTTCTATGACAGCTTAGCTCAGAGATTCCAACCATGTCTTCAAACTGTACCAATTAATAACAAAAGAATCAGACAAATGGACTATAGATGATATGAATTTAAACATAATCGATGACTAAAGCTGCTATTAACTTTAACATAAACTATGAATATTGCATCATTGATTATAAGCACTCGCATACTGCATATGACTATGCCCACTCCATCTAACGGCCGAGTCACTTCAAAAGAATTCTCGAAATTCTCGCTTGCTGCCTAAAAGCTTATATATTTTCCATAATTTCGGACTGTTAGCTAAACAAATTTGTTACGGCTGCTGCTAAATGTAACTGTAAGTGGCATCAATGGATCGAGAGCTAGTCGAAAACCGGTTAGGCACTTCTTACGCAGCAGCTAGAAATGTCAAGCTTTTTATGATTGGTTATTTATGCACAGTCAATGGCACAATCCCCCAAAAACCAAATGATGTTAATGTTGGCTGTTGGCTGTTGGCTGTTGATGTTGACTGTTGGCGATGCCGTTCTTTTCTAACCGTTAGCTGGCCAATGCAACAGCATTTGAAATGCAGAGAGATGAGTCTTTGGACACGTTGCAACTTTCTACAAAACAGAAGAAGAAGAAAACGAGTTGAGTGGCATCATTTGCTTTTTACAGCATGGCTACGCCCAACAGCCCAAGTTGGTGTCCGAGCACAAGTCGCCCCACAATTGAATGCTTCAATGGAGCAGAAAACGTTGGGTAGCTGCAACTTGCAACTTGCAACTTGCAAGTTGCGACTTGCTCGTCGCGTATGTCAGTCGCTGTTGATTTGCTGCAAATGTCACTGCAAATGAAGCTCAAGTTAATTTTCATATGCATTGCCTCGCCCGTTTGCCTGGGGCATGACCGTTTCCACTTGAGCGCAACGCCTCGCATGCTAATTTATGCATTAATTTTGGTTGATAACCAACAAAAGCGTCAAGATTTGGCGAAAGAGCACAACTTAATTGTGCGCAGAGCTGAAGCAAATTGCAATTTAGCCAGACAATTAATTTGTCAAAACTAAACCGGCTCGTCGTGGAGGCTGTGGACTGTTGCACCAGCGCAGCTGCTGCTTCAAGATAACCATAGACCACAACTCGTTGGCAGGTGTCGCAACTTTCACCTTGACCGGTTGCCAAATTGAAGTCAAACATCTGCAGCCTCGACGTCGTCACAGCTCTATGCCAAATAGTAATCACTTAACAAAATCTAACGCATTTAATTAGATAACTTCGCTTAGAGCGACGACGCGTGATGTATTCACATCAGCCTGAGCCAAAACAAAGAACTTCCCTTCACAAATGCGAGCTAAATGCGAATCGTTCGCTTATTTGCATTTCAAAGCTGGCCAAATTGAACAGACAACTGCAAAAGGCATTGAAAAGCTCAGTCTTTTGGTACCTAATTAGCGGCAACGAGTTGTGAGCATGATAAATATTCAAAGATACGCCAATAGAAATGTGAAAATCGAAATACGAAACACGAAATGCGAAATGTGATCACAGCATGAAAGCTGGAAGCCGCATAGATACGAGTATCTTGTCGACTAAACAAACATCTATTATTGATCGAAAGTTGAATGAACTGCGTAAAGACCGTAAATTGGTAGCTAATAATTATGGGCTCTTAAGCAAATAGAAGCGGCAAAATAATTAAAAGAACATGAAGGTTTCTCATATTCTGATTGTCATGCTAACATAACCTCAAAAAGATCTGTGAATAATACCAAATCTAAACATTTGTTTACTCTTTCAAAAGATTTGAACTTAGTCCACTTTTTTTATATTGTTATTAATTTGGATTTGTTTAGAAAGCGTAGTCTTAAGTCTTTAATATATTTTATATACTTGATCTTCGATCAACCTCTTTTCAGTCTTTTTTATGCAAATTAGATCAGTTGAGGTATTATCAAATTTGCCTATATATATTAACACACATCGAATCGATCTATTAAGTCACATAGCTGTTGTGATCAAGATCGAAGAATTTTACCTTAACTTCTCTTAATGTGGGACAACATTATGAATACATTTTATTAATGACAAGATGCTCACATAT